GAATTGCCACAGCTGTCTTCTCAATATGATGTGAAGAATTTCTACCAGACGGGTGAAGTAGTTCTGAGTCTCCTTGTGTTCAGTAGATTCTTTAAGGAAAGAACCACATTTTCATAAACAGATCGTCCTGAAAGTGATTCCTAATTTGACATGAGCATACAGACAACCTTTCATTATATTGTATTCCTTTTGCTCCTGCCCAAAGAAGACCGTCGTCTGTCCACTAATTTGATTGGCAGGTAACATGAGTGTTATTCTGCATAAGATGAGGTCATCCCATTTATGTAGAAAATTGAGGTAATTGCCTTAGTGGAACCCCAAGTTGTGGGGGTCCAATATCACAATGAGTGTGGGAAGCTTGATGACAGATGATTGCTGTGAAGATGTTGCTAATGTGGTAGGGGAAGGCAGAACTCTGTGCTGCTTAAGACAGTTTCCTTTGAGGTAAAATACAGATGAATTCTCCCCATGTTCAAGATAAATAACTCTTATCTTCTGTTACTGTTAATCAAGTGTAAATCACTTTCAGTAAGTTAGTATGATATTATGGTATAATATTGAAACCTGTTGCTTTTTTCTCATAGCGTAAAAAAAGACACTGTATAACAAAATATTTAACCAAACTAATAATGTCAATGAAAATGTGGTGAATTTGTAATGAAATGTTTCTTTCTCCAAAACTGTATCGTTTATGATCATACCTTTCTTGTACTCTCCTTAAAATGTACATAGATAGGAGTTTGAATGCGTATGTTTGTCAGGTAAATTTGTAATGTGATACATTGGAGAAACATGCTGTGAATCTCTAATTATGTTAAAAAATTATTTTCTTAGTGTGGCATTATACTCATTATATACTCTTACACGTTTAGTTTTTGAATAGATTCCTAGCATGATAATTACATAATCATTCAGTACAGTAGAAACATCATTATGGTCAAATACTAATTAGCTACTAAAATGAAACAAAACCTAGTTCACAGCTTATTATAAAAAGTGGTTTAATGTAGAAAACCAAATGTATGGTTAAAATTATTATTTGCCTAAAATGTGAGTCATTTTTCCCCTGGAGAAGAATCATTTTTCTGGATGCTCATTATCTAATTTATTGCTTGGGAACACATTGTGTTTTGTTATCAGTGCCTTTGTGACCGGCTCTGTGTGATGGAGCATCCATAGAACTTGCCAGTGGGGATTCTCAGCTAGTGTGCTGCAGGCAACTGGGTACCTCAGGGTTCTTGCTCCAGAATTAGGATAATGGATAGAGGGTCTCCGAAGGCTCCCCCAGGCCACAATTTGTAGAGGTTCTCACACACTCGCTCTATATAAGTTTCTAGGAATATGGCATATAGCAGTGAATCCTTCCTTTCTGGAGCATTGATTTGAGTCCCTTTAGTGCTGAAGATAAATGAGTCTCAACCATTTTTCTTCCTTGGTGCACATTAGGAATTTGGGACAATCCCATGGGCAATAATGAATCTTGGCATCTGTGATTTTCCAGGTGTGTTTCTAGTTGGAGAACTGTCAGGCAAGACATAAACTGGTGCAGGGGAAGTGGGAAGGTGCAAATGAAATCCTGCCGATGACCAGTGAGCATACTACCCAAGAGAGCATCGCTCTCACTCTCCTGGAGAACTGCTTCTGCAGATACAGTGGAATTTTAAGTGTTTGGCTGCTTAAGCAAACACTTGGGAAGCAAGGCCTGGTGATCAACTTTCAAAAAGTTGACCATTATAAAACTGATGGAGCACAGTTGTACTCTGACCCAGATGGCCCTCCGTGAGGTGGAGCCAACTTAATGGCAACTAGCTTCTACTAGGAGGTTTCGGTGCCATTTTGCTTGTGACTGCGTGGTTAGTCCGCTTTTCTAATTGTTGTTAGGTGCTGTGGAGTCAGTTTTGATGCATAGCGACCCTGTGTATACAACAGAACAAAACACCACCTGGCCCTTTGCCATCTTCACAGTTACTCTTACACTTGAGCCCATTGTTGCTGTTGAGGACCTTCTTGCTTTTGCTTTGTCACTGCCCCTCTGCTTTACCAAGCTAGATGGCCTTCTCCAGAGACTGCTCTCTGCTAACACCATGTTCAAAGTACATGAGATGAAATCTCTCCATCCTTAGCCATCTAAGGAACATTCTGGCTGTTCTTCCGTTACAGATGTGTTCAGTGTCTTGCAGGCCATGGTACTTTCAATATTCTTCACCAGCACCACAATTTAAGTGTATTGATTGTTCTTCAGTCTTCCTTATTCTTTATCCAAGTTTCACAAGCATATGAAAGGATTGAAAATATTATAACTTGAATCGGGTACTTCAACGTAATACTTTCTTTTTAGCACCCTAAAGAAATCTTGTGCAACAGATTTGCCAATGCAATAGGTGGTTTGATCTCCTGACTACAGCTTCCATTACCATTGATTGTGGATCTAAGCAAGACAAAATCCCTGGCAGCTTTAGTCTTTTCTCCTTTACCATGCTGTTATCTATTGGTCCAGTTTTGAGTATTTTGTTCTACTTTATATTGAGATGTAATCTATTCTGAAGGCTACAATCTTTGATCTTCATCAACAAGAACTTCCAGTCCTCCTTACTTGTAGCAAGCAAGGTTGTGTCTTCTGCATATCACAGGTTGCTAAAAAGTCTTCCTCCAATTCTGATGCCCTATTCTTCTTCAAATAATCCAAGCTTCCCTGATTATTTGCTCAACATACAGATTGCGTAATTATGGTGAGAGGATGCAACCCTGATGCACATCGTTCTTGATTTTGAACCAAGCAATATTTCCTTGTTCTGGTCACACAGCTGCCTGTTGATCTGTACAGGTTTTGCATGAACAAAAATACCTGAGCTGGGATTCCCAGTCTGCTAAGGCTATCCATAGTTATGATCCACACAGTTGCATGCCTTTGCATAGTCAATAAAACACATAAACATATGGAATTTTGGTACACACAGTGACACACATTGGGTCTTATTATACTCATCTATACTGTAAGCCTCGTAGGAATTGGGGACATTCGTGTGGTCATATTGGTACCATTTTTATTTGAAGGAATTTAAAAAATCATGGATGCTTCCTTAATTATTTATAAGTCCAACTTTTAATCGATTTTTTTGCTATGTTCTCTTTTCCCTAAATCTTCTCTCCCCATCTTTCTCTTTATTTTTGTCTTCTAGAAGTACTGGTTCTCTACTAATTAATGGTTTGTCATGTAGTTAATACAAAAATCTATACAGCACACATAGAGGTTTAAAGAGCATTGCTCAACTTTCTGGTGTATTCCAATAAGCAATGCGAACTGACTTCCTACTGCTTCAGTATAGCTACTACTGCTGCATTTGTGGCATGGTGTGTTGTGTGTGTGACTATTCAGTTCTGTGTTCAACTTCCAAAATACTTTATTTCATGTAAATATTGACTATTGAACCAATGAAGTACACAGTTAATCAAACATCCTCCTGTAATCAACAGTAGGACTGCCCATTTCTTTGAAGAGATTAGCTACAGACCGTATTCTCAAGTGAACCCCCAATCTTGCAAAGGCTGCGGATTGCAGGAAGCCTATGACGAAATCATGAAACAATGAACATCTATCTGGCAGAGTTAAGTCAGTGAGAAAAATCAAGGATGTTGAGTGCTTAAAATGAGCATTATTTCAATATTAAAGAATTGAGAGCAGCTGTTAGGAAAAAGGATGACATCCTTGAATATTTTTACATGTGTAATTATGTTTAAAAACCATCCTGTGAAACTTAAATGTTATATGATGTATGTCATAATGTGCTAGTATGAAATATTATTGAAAATATTCTGCCAAAGTTCTCATTTCTTTTATTCATTCTGAGGATTGCACAGAGCTCCAAATGTTGCCTCTTTTTTTGGAAAACATTTCATTTTATTTATTGTTGTTTTTAATTAAAATTGTTTTATTGGGGCCTCCTACTTATAACAATTAAGTCTTTCTTTTCCTTGTTTTAAGTTGCAATCAAAGATTTTTTTTCACCATTAGTTGTTATAAAATTTTGACTCTTATTTAAATTTCATTGTTCCTTCTTTCAGAATGGACTCTTGTGTGATAAGAGCTCCCTATATATAAAACATAGGACCTCTGATGGCACTGTGGATTGCTAACCATAAGGCCTGTGGTTCAAACCCACCAGCCACTCTATCCAAGAAAGATGAAGCTGTCTGCCTCATAGAGATTTGCAGCCTCAAGTCACTGCCAGAGTCAACTCACCTCATAATGCCCCTCTAGGATGTGGTAGAATTTCCCCTTTGGGGTTCCTGAGACTTTACTCCTTCAGGGGACCTGACAGTCTCATCTTTCTCCCAAAGAGTGGCTTCTGGGTTTGAGCTACAGACCATATTCTCAGCAGCTCAGTGTGCCACTTACTATGCTACGCCACCAGGGCTCCAACGGACAGGCCAGGAAACCCTATGTAGGCTGACTGTGAGTCAGAATTGATGCGTTAGCAGTGGGTTTGGTTTGGTATATAAAAAAAACATTTGATTTATGTGATTCTTGTCTAGCCATGGTTTTTCCTGTGTTAATATCCCAAAATGAATGTCAGATTTTTTATTTCAATTAATTGTGGCTAAATTCCAGGCAATTATTTAATTTTTTATTTAGTGAGAGTAGGCAGGGACCCGAGTAGTCATTTTATAAAGCTGATTGTTTTAGATCAATAGAACCATATTTATATAGGTCATCTCCTGGGATATAGAAATACCTCAATTATAGTTCTATTAATGCCTTCCATTTGTAAAACATTTTACACTTTAGAAAATGCACTTGAATCTTTTTATTTCATTACCCATTGTACTTTGTGGTATTTGTTGTGATGAGACTATGTTCTCTATAAGTTCTACAGAGTCCCTTATTATAATTCTTTGCCATTTGTTGGCTCCATGACTTATCAGTCTTGACTAGGGTTCCTACTGAGGGTGTGAAAAAAATGAAAATATTTTGTGATTCCAGTAGTGAATTTTTTTTGCAGGTATCTTGTAGTCTATAATCCTTCAGAACAGGACCGGAATTCAGTGGTCACCGTCTGGGTGAGTTCTCCCTCTGTACAAGTGACCTCTGCTGCAGGGAGACCTGTGGAATTTCAAGTGAGTGCAGTTTGGGAGTCGGCGAATACTGTATCACACACAGCCTATGAGGTATGTTATTCCCATAGAACGTAGGGTGGCATGGTAAAGAAAGAACAGCCAGTATATATTTTATGAATGTATCCATGACTTGTTGAGCCACCGTGCCAGTGTATGTGAAGTGTATGTAAAAACCAGAGAGCTTCATTGGCTATTTAAGTAGAACTCAAGGGGAAAAAAAATCTTATAACTGTTTTAAGTTATGCATGTTGTTCTCATTATGTTATATATATATATATATAAGTAGTAGTACATATTAATATGCAATTGTATCTCTTGGCCCTTATGTATAATTGTAACTTTATTCTGAAGTAAAGAAATAATCATAAATATTTAAATTTTTGTTTAACTCAATTTAATCACAATCATGAATATTGAAATGAGATAAATACTACCCCTCTGAATAACTTGGGACACTTTCATCTTTTAATCGCACAGGTAACATGTACTAAACCTTAAAAGGATGACTTCTTAGAATAACTACAAAGAGCTGCGTCATTTCTAAGACAAACCTACTGCCATTGAGTCAGTTCTGATGGATGCAGGGTTTCGGAGGCTGTAAATCTTTACAGGAGCAAACAGGATTGCCTTTCTCTCAAGGAATGACTGGTGGATTGGACACAACCTAGCAATGAACAGCTCAGTACTTAACCCACAGCATCACCAGGACTCCTTGTTCTAAGATAGAATCATAGAAAGTCTGGACACAGTAACAGATGCCTGTTTGAAAGTTGTGCAAACATTGTTCAACTGAGCCCCATGTCACTGGAAAGGTTGAACATTTTGGAGTCTAGAGTGTTATTTGAACTCTGCTTCTCAAGGCACAAGGAGCCCTGGTGGTAGGTTACACGTTGTGCTGCTAGGTCAGTATTTCGAGGCCATCCTCTGCTCTTGTGGAGAAAGATGAGGTTGTCTACTCCTGTAAGACTTATGGGCTCAGAAACCCATGGGTCAGTTCTTTTCTGCCCTGTAGAGTCACTGTGCGTTGGAACTGACGTGGTGACAGGAGCTCGAGTAGGCACAACCCTAAACTTGTGGTGGTGGTGGTGGAGTGCCATGGAGCAGTTCCTACTCATAACAGCCTCTCAAAGAGGGTGTTTAAAGCCATTTCTGGCTGCTAATATAAGGGTCCTTTCCTTTTGGTAAAAAGGCAAAATACAATACAAATATTGGTCACATTTTATAGGAAACATTCCATCCAGAAAATGCACAGTTCCTTGTGGGCTGGCTCACATTTTTGGCATCACCAGGCCTGCCTTGTTCATGTTTGATAAGCCTCAGGTAGTCATTCAAGTTGAGGACAGTCACCTAATTTCTCATATTAGATGAAACATGCCCATCAACTTTGGGTGACTGAGACACGGATGCTCTTCTTGTAAATGATCAAAAAATAGAGTAGTGTCATGTGTTCTTTTAAAAAAATGTGATGTGTTTCTTGTTTTGTTTTCTTTTTGCTGAAAGTGTAAATAGTTATCCTTTCTCTAGGTTACATTTCTCTACTAAAGTATCTCTCCTGTCTTTAAAAGATCTCTTTTCTAGCACATCTACCACCATTGGGACTGAAAGTATATAAGATTTTTGAATCAGCAAGTTCAAAGTCACTCTTTGCCGATTATGTACTATATAATGGTAAAACAGAGGCTAAAGGAATTTTCAACATAAAGAATATCAAAAATGCTGAAGAAGACATAGTGCTAGAAAACTCTTTTATTAAGCTTCGGTTTGGTCAGTCTGGCCTTATGGAGGTATGTTGACCTAAGCAGTTCTGAAATGTATAGAAGTTTTATCACTTTTATAAATGCATTTACCAGATCACTTATGCAAAGGAAAAAAGGCGTACTTAGCCCTGTACCAAGTATTCTATAGCTGCATCCACTTGTGCCTGATGTTACGCGTAAGTGTCGCTTATGGGTAATGTTGTCTATGAGCTGCCTGTCATTGGTTCATGAACTAAGTACAGAAATTGGGAATATGATGAAATTTTATTGGAAAAATTTAAAGCAATTTGACAGTGAATTTGGTTCTAACCGTAAAAATAAATGTGTATATTTGGTTTCCCACTTAAATTTCATTTCCCTAGGAATTCACTGTTATTTTACTTTATGAAAACACTGGTTTATGTAGATGAGAAAGAAACACCTCCATCAGAGCAAAAACTTTGAAAGCATTGGTCTAGACCTCCTAATTGATTCATCACTTCCTTGATGACATGTATTTCTGACTTTCTGTTCAAAACGTGCAGGTTTTAAAGCTCCAGGCTAAGTGTGAAACGTGACGTGTTTGGCCAGGAATTTTGAATATGAAACTTAAAGCTAACAATTTAAAAAACATTTTTCTGCTAGGTGTGCATTTTTTTTAAGTGGCGGCTTATACTTAGAACCAGATGTGTAATTAGTATTACAATAGCGAGATGCCTTTAATCTTTTTCTTATTCTTCTTAGGAATTGATAAATAAAGAAGATGGTAGGCACCATGAAGTAAAATTGGAGTTCTCATGGTATGGAACCACAAATAAAAAAGACAAGAGTGGTGCCTACCTTTTCCTACCTGATGGGCAAGCCAAGGTAAGTGCTAACAAGGCGAACATAGGTACTTATTGAGAAAGTGATGGGGAAAAAATGTGCTTCATTATTTGCTCCTGTAATAGGGATAGATAAGCTATTGGGTCCACTGGTCTTTGCCTTCAGGTATTCAGAGCAACATAGAGTTGAAAATTAGATAAGTTTTCGGGGTGAGAATGCAGTTAGGATGGTACAGTGTAAAAATGTTGAGTGAAATTTGAAGTTAAAAAATGCAGCTGGATTTGTCTTAAACCATTTCTATATATAATGCAGCAAAAACATATATAGATGTGCATATAAAATATTTAGCCATATGTGAAACATAAATTGCCCACTGGACCTTGTGTTTCTTCTTAACTTTTAACACTTAAATAATGAAGCATATTTTTTCTCTTCCCACCGTCGAGTGTATGCAAATCGCGGCACATTTAAAAAATGAAGAAAGTCGTGTAGTTGACCAACTCTTCCATAAGCCGTTGGAAACCACTGCCAGCGTTTGGATGCATTTCTGTTGTTTACATTCTGTGCATATCCTTTCCCTATCATTCTTGGGTTTTGTCTTATTAGATGCACATATTTTTTTTCTACATTTTTGCTCACAAGCTGACGAGACATTCTTTGAAACACAACCTTAATGAATACTGTTGTGCAGCAGTTCTTCAGTGTTAAACATTGTGCTGAGTGTTCTTTGCAGCATTCTCTTACGCAAGTAGGAATTCGAATTTATGCATGAATTTATGCACGCATGAATGTGTTGCCTGAGATGGACTGTCCAGAAGAGTCATTATGCGTTCATGAATAAAGCTTTTTAAGGCTTTTGATCCGTACCGCAAAATGTTCACTCCCACCATGAGTTTTGAGAATGTCTATCAGTATTTTATGGCAAACACCAAGAGTTAGACCTTAAGAGTTTTGGCAACAGTAGTGAAACCTAATTTTCTGTAGAATAGTTTTTTGCATGATGACTTGTGGAGTTTACTTCTTGTGGGATTTCTTTGTGTTTGTTAAATGTTTTGATAACAGTCAGCACAAAGAGCCCTGGCGGCACAGTGGTTTAATGCTCAGCTGCTAACCAAAACGTTGGCCATTTATAACCAACCCAGCAGCTCTGGGGATCAGCTCCTGTAAAGATGACAGCATACAAAACCCTGGGGGTCAGCTCGACTCTGCGAGATGGGGTCAGTGCAGTGAAAATCAACTGCGTCACACCCAACAACAACCATCATAAACACACTCACCCGTTTTATTTTATGTTGGAAAACTTTCCCCATAGTTTGTCGTTTAAACTCTCGTAATTTTTTTTCTGTCACAGTATCTGTTGTCATCTGTGTAGTCAGTTCTGTATTTTTTTCAAGGGTTTCCGACTTGACTTTGATTCTTCTGTAGGTCTTCCCTACCTCAGTATCAGTAAATCTCCACCTGATTTTTTTGTTGCTAAGGGGCCTGTGCTGGGAAAAAAGTTATAGGAACGCCTGCTAACCAAAATCAAATATTCAATTGTAAGGTGTTTTTTTTTTGTTGTTGTTGTTTTTTTAAAAAATCAATTTATTGGGGCTCATACAATTCATCACAATACATAGATTAATTGTGTAAAGCACATCTATACATTTGCTGCCCTCATTATTCCCAAAATTCGCTTGCCTCTTGGGTTCCCGGAATCCGCTAATTTTCCGTTTTTTCCCCCTCCCCTTCCCTTCCTCCTCCCCTCTCCCCCATACACCCTTAATAATTTATAAATTATTATTGTATCTTATATTACACTGTCTGGCATCTCCCTTCACCCACCCTTCTGCTGCCCGTCCCCCCGAGAAGAGGTTATATGTAGCTCCCTGTGATCCATTCCCCATTACTACATCCCCTTTCCCTCCTGGTATCGCCACTGTCACCCCTGGTCCTGAGGGGTTCATCTGTCCTAGATTCCCTGTGTTTCCAATTCCCATCTGTATCGCTGTGCATCATCTGGTCTAACCAGGTCTGCAAGGCAAAATTGGGGTCCTGGTAGTTGGGGGGAGGAAGCGTTTAAGAACTAGAGGAAGGTTGTGGGTTTCGTTATTGCTATACTGTACCCTAAGTGACTCATCTCCCCACTACCCCTCTGCAAGGTATGTCCAGTTGTCTAGAGATGGGCATTGGGTCTCCATCACGCGCCACCCTCATTGACGAGGATATGATTCCCCCTCCCCACCTTTGGTGTTTAAAGCCTAGTCCCTTTGGCCCTTCATGATCACACATGTTGGTGTGCTGCTTCCATGTGGGCTTTGTTGCTTCTGGGCTAGATGGCCGATAGGCTGTAGCAAGAGTTCTAGTTTCTGTGTGTTGTAAATCATTGAGGAATGAAAGGTAACTACAGCTCGTGGTGCAATGGATTGAGGTCAGCAGTTTGAATTCACCAAGCTGCTCCCTGAGAGAAAGATGTGGTGGTGTGCTCCTGTAAAGATTGACAGTTCTGGGAACCCTGGGGAGCAGTTCTGCTCTGTCATACAGGTCACTGACTGAAGGGCAGTGGGTTTGGTTTGTAAATTCATGGTTACAGTAGGCATTGCACATAGACAGTGGATCCGAAGTATAAACTGCATCAGAATTTTCTCATAAACTTCATCACTGGACAGGCGCTTTGTTTTGATGAACTGTTCTTTTAGGTATTTTTAAAAAAAGATTTAAGAAAATAGTAGCTTTGCATGAATATTATGCATGGATAGTAGTAACTAATGTATTTAACATTGTTTGTCTTTAAGTAGCTGTCATGTCAGATAGAGGAAGATCAAACCATATATTTTCATATATTTACAAAGAGAAAATAAATGACTAGCCAGGAAAGAGGCAAAAGGGCGTCTTGAAAAATGGTAGCCTAGGATTCTCCATCTAGGATTCTCAGTCCCTCGTACTTCCATGCTAAGTGGGAGAGACAAACACTGTGTGATGTGTAAATAATAATATCAATTTCAGAATATTTCCTCCTCTACCAGTGAAGTAAATTGGAAGGAAACTGCGCAATTCAGAAGATCCTATAGTAAAGTAGCTCACCTTGCAAGCCTCGTCTGTTTATTCTGCTGTTGTGATTTCTAAGACTCCTGATACCTAAGAAAATAAATTCTTTATGAATACTCTGTGTTCCCAAGTTACCTATGTGAAGTGGTTTCTCAATTTTTCTTGATTTTCAGTGCTAAATAATGAAAGTTAACCAGTGATCTCCAAGTAAGTTTCTTTTCCCCCCTCCAACTTTGCAGTTTTGCTTTATACCCAGTTTGCTCTTGAAACATTCTTTATAGGGTAGTAAACCTAACTGTGATTAAACTATGTTTCTGAATCTTTCTTCCTGTTTGTTTAGATGACTCCCTGTGGATAATCCTTGCCATGTTCCGACCCCTGAACATTAAGGGGTCATGGCTATAATTAATGTCTGCCTGGAAAATGTTGCTGCTATAGAATAATTTTAACTCTCATAAGTAACTACACAAGGGGTCTTCACAAAGTTCGTGGAAAAACAGAATTATCATTTATTAAAGGTAATTCTGTTTTTCCACGAACTTTTTGAAGCCCCCTCATGTTGACACTACAGAGGAATCCTAATTAGAAGTTTTTATAGCTGTGGGGAATATTTGAAGATCTAGTCCAATCAAAATACAAACATTTTAATTTTCTCTTTTCCACATTTAAAAAAAATGAACCACCTTAGCAATTGTCGTAGCAAGAACATATTTAAATGGTAAGGTTTAATTTTAATTTAATAATAAGTATCAGATGGTAACATTTTCCATTTTGGAGACTATTATGATTATTTCTTGGAAAAGCTTAGAATCCAAAATGTTTTTCTTAAAAATGTTATTTTCTCTTCAGCTTTATGGGTTCACCACACTGCCCGTTTTCAGAGTGACACATGGAAAGATCTACTCAGAAGCGACTTCCTTCTTTGACCATATAACCCATAGAGTGCGGCTCTACCACATCCCAGGTAAGAAAACAGGGACACAGCATGAAACCTGTGTCCACGGTGTCTTGAATTCCTGCCTTCCTTGATAATGTCATTATCAACGAGCAGTAGCTTTTTGGAGATGATGTAATTTTCTAAATTTGACATCATACTTTTGTCCTATGTTTTAAAATATACTTACCCTTTCATAATAAGTAAATGGTAAAATATTTAACTCCTTTCATATGAGGATCTTCGTGGAAAAATTCCCGTTATCCATCAACTCCATTTATTTCATGAACTTTTTGAAGTCCCTTTGCAAATACTTGTGTCATATTTGTACCTTCTCTTATCCCCTGCCATTACATGTCTTAGAAATGAGAACATTAATTACATCCTATTTCAAACCTAAAAATGGTATAGAGTTTTGTTTGCTTTAATAAAGTGAAAAGTGTATAACATGCTGTTCTTGGTGCCCTTGAGCTGTTTTCTACTCATAGCAGCCTCCGGGCAACAAGACAAAGCACTGCCTAGTTTCATACCATCCTTACAGTGTTACAGCTTCATCCATTCTGCTGTAGCTTCTGTGTCAATCCATCTTGTGGAGGGTCTTCCTCTGTTCAGCTGACTCTCTACTTATAAAGTATGATGTCCTTTTCGGGGCTTAGTCTCTCCTGATAACATGTGCAAAGTATTTCGTTTAATAGACCACTAATTGCGGCACACACACGCACACATCCTGTATTGAACATACAATGTATCACAATACATTGCAGCATTAACATTTTAAGAGAAAATTTTTCTAAATTATTTGTTCATAATTCTATGCTTGTTAGACTACAAGATAGCCAATTATGCATTTCTTCTAGGATGGTATTAACCTTTATTAACCAAACTTATAGGAATTGGACTTTTGATTCCTTTAGAAATTTAATCCTGAGCAGCTGATCCTGCCAAACAAGCTAGGTGGAACTAAGGACACTAATACTCTTGGAACTGCGGTTTAGTTGGGTTGATTTCTTGAATTTTGTGTTTTTAGAACAGAGTGCTTTTCAAGCCAAATATTTAACCCTGTCATCAAGGCCATGTACCATAGGATTAGTGCTTTTAGATAAAGAACTCATAGAAATGTTTCTTTAAGTCTATCCTTGCTGTTATTGAAGCTGAGAAAGTTAAAGAAGGAAAAATGTTTTCCCCTAAGGTTTCAGACAGTCAAGGAATAAAGCATTTCACAAACTGATAATAAAATGTACCAGTGGGCACTGTTTGCTCTTTAATTATTGTGGATAAGCAAAGGTACTTACAATGTTCCAAGTAAAGGGATATCTCAGCTAAAGTTCCACCCTCTCATTTCAGCATCTAAATTTAATACTGCTTTTGTTGAACTTTTTCAACTTTGAATTTCAGCAGTGTTTGCCTTTGGTTAGCATTTCCGGCATAAGTAAACTTTCTCGTACTGCTTCATAGGTTGAAGTACATTTTAAGAATAATCATGGTTCGTAGGTTTAATCAAGAAGTCAAAGGTCATCTGGAATGTGGTTAAAAACCCTATGAGATGCTGATTTTGTGTTCTAACCGTGACTTGTTCAGTTACCCAAAATCACTCTTGCAGGAAAGTGAGAGTTCCCCAAATCTCTAGGAAGTGAGAAGCAGTGCTTTTGACCATCCATTTGTAACTTTGAGCAAGCCTTTGTGTAACACCCTAAAAGCTCTGAATTTCTATTTTCCAAATCTTGCCAAAGATTGCATTTATTGGTAGAAAATAGCATTAACACATCTAAGATGCATTATGTATATTTAACTTTGCCTAACCCCGTTGTTCTATTTCATAGGCAAGTCCTTCCTTGAGCAGAACACGGCGCATGTTTGCCATAGACCTGTGCCATCAAGCTCAGCTCACCATGTTGCCATCATCATAGCCTGAGATAGGCTAGGTCTCAGAGTAAATGCTAACACAAGTCAACACAGAATTCTCAATACTCAATCACGTCTAACTGGCAATTAGTTTGACTTTTGTTTCATTGCTTCTGTCAACTTCAAGGTATCCTCTGAGTTTTCCCTGGGGTATCTGTGGCCTTTAGCTGTTTCTGTGTGGTAGATGGTCCCCTTCTGTGGCTGGTAGCATAGGTGAGCTTGTCATCATAGCCTATCGTGGAAATTACAAGACTGACTCAACTGTTGATGTATAGTAGCAAATGCACATTCATTAGAACTAAATTGCTGTCTTCGCTACCCTCCTGGTCACTGCTAGGGACTATCCAGTGGCTAATAATCTTGATGCAGGGGCAAGGGATCACAAGAAAGCCGCTGGCTTCTGGTGCCCTGATTGGCTCTCTTGTATTCTCAGTGTTTCTCCATTCTCAGCTCAGCCCCATGTCTAATCTCTCCTTGGCTTCTGCTGCTTTTCTCCACTTGTACAATTTCCTTTTCCCTTGTCTGCTTCTTCTCTAGGCTGTCTCCCTTCTCTGTGGTGTTTCTGGTGCAGAGGCTTAGTTCTCGCAGGCATTGTCTGTGGTGAGTGTGTCTGTCCCTCCTCCGTCACCAAACTGGCCAATTTTGGCTCCTCAAGCATCCCTTAAAGTCTTTGGTTCTCACCCCCTCTTCACTTTTGCTTATAGCCTTCTGGCTCCCTGTTATGGACATATTTTAAAAGGCTAAGGTATAATACAGTTCCGATGCGTGAAATCTCCTTGGGGTCCAGCCTCTGGGAAATGAGGTGTTTCAAGATACACGATTTGATTAGTTAGATAAGAAAATAAAGGTTCTGAATAGAGCACTCAGAGTATTCGTGTAATGAAAAATAAAAACACAAACCTCAGACTGCCTCTGGATTTTTCAGTAAGTAGAGTAAACTGGGCTGAATCATTTTTCCCCCAATTAGATTTGTAGCTTGAAAGTAGTAGCTTCAGAAGTTCAGGGGAAATGACAAATAAATGTAATGCAGAGTTAACTTAGAGTGCTCCTCCAGATACATTTTACTGTACTTGTCTGAATTGAATCTGAAACCCGCAGATAAAACTACTTCAAGTGACACAAGAAGCTTTTTCTCTCTAGCTCAGAGCAGGTCTTTTTCTAAGCTGAAAGTGGCTGGTGGGAAAAGGAGATACTGTAACCATGTGAAAGCCTTCCTTCCAAACTGTGTTTGTATCTGAACCCCAACTGTAGGGAGCAAGCCTGTTTTCAGGATCCTCAGTGGCCCACCTGCATCGTGGCCCACCTGCATTCCCTTTACCCCTTGAGACAGTTTATTGTGCCAGCCTGGCTGATAAACGCAGGTGGGATTGACTGAGGGGCGGAGAGATGGATGGCTTGATGAGCCTTGCCTTTCTTGTCTCTCGCTCTGTGATCATCGGACCAGTGTGCGGCTGCCTTGCTTGTTCTGTGCTTTAATTTAAAGGCTACAGAGCCTGTGGGACGCCTAGCCTGTGGACTGTGTTGCTGTAAGTTGAGGTCCCTTTAAGACTTCTCTGGAGCTGGGAACTGGCAGTTGGTGACCTGCCTTGTGATTGGCTGCTGTGCTGACATAACCTAGCTCTCTCTACAAATACAGGAAGATCTGGCATCAGATAGAGACTGGAAGGACTGCTAGTCTCTCAACTTTCTCTCATGGACGTGAGTTGCACTAAGCCGTTTATAGTGCTTCTAATTTAACTGTTTATTTCTTGTGTATTTATCTGTATATGATTGTATATTTATGTGTATATGATCTAAGATTGTATATTTATCTGTATATGATTTAACATTTCATTTCTCGTTATATATCTAATTATCTTTATGATTTAACATTTCATTTCTTGTTATATATTAATTACCTTTATAAATAAATATATTATCAAGAATTTGGTTTTATCTCTCTAGAGAACCCTGTCTAACACACCCCTCATTGTGGGAAGGCTCAGATGGTTCAGTGGGGTTTTAATTAAATCATTCACTGAGGCCTGTGATGGAGATCTGATTAAGTATGTAGGTGTTCTAACTACTTGAAAGAGTAATCAGTCATAAGGGGGTTGGTGAGAAAAGCGTAGCAAAGGCCATGTACTAAGCAATGCTTCAACGATCCTGGACAAACTTCGAGATTCTAACTTTGGCCTCATAAACTAGGCATCTATCGGATGAATGAACCAGGTAGATATACAAATTGGGACTCTGTCTTTAACAGGAAGAAAAATTCATTCGACAGCCCTGCTTTCGTAGGAATCGCTTTCTGACTACACGTCTGTCGAGGGAAAGACCTGTGCGCCATTGGGTTTTTAATGACTGAGCGTTCAGCGCTAGAATGTCAGGCCTTTCTTTTAAGGCCGTGCTGCTGCTGGATGGATTCAAAACTTGAATCTAACATATTAAACGGATTTTGCATATGTACTAATTTTGCATCTTTGAAAGTGACTAGATACAGTTATTTGGATGATTATCAATAAATGGAACCTGGGTTGAGTTAGTACCAAATTTGTGTTTTGTACAGAAATAAAGGTTAGGAGAGAGAGACTATTAATACTTTATAATTACATATTGTAATTGTATTAGGTTTCTTAGTCAATTATATAAAACATTTTATTATATCACAGCAACAAGGGAAAACAAAGTGAGTTAATATTGCAGATTGTCTATCTTTTTAAGTGTTTGTTTATATTAAACTTTTCGAATTTAGTTTACCTGAAGTACTCTTTTTTTTTTTTTTTTAAGTAACCTGCAAAAAAAAATCCTTGAATTCTTTCATGGTCTATTGTCCATATTAACCGAGTAATTTTTCCTTGAAATAAACTTTGGGAGGAGAGAAATCCAAGAACAGGAATCAAACAACACTTCCCAAAATATGTAAACTATTTGGTCATTATTGTTTTTATAACAAACTGAGTCGAGAAGCCTCAGTTCAACTCTATTGTTGGTTTTCTCTATTTGTGTTCTTTCCATGTTCTGAAAATGATAACAGAGTTGAAAGTCTCCCTTGCTTTCAGGAGCACCTATGCCATTAAAAAAACTACTTAAAAAATTATTATTCAGATATCACATTCAAAAGGCTTTTAGACAGATTAAATTAAAGA